GCCACTTGAGAATGCTGAGGAAATAAGCGCCTCAGAACAATAAATGAAACTTAATGAAATGTCACAAATAATATAAAAAAAACCAAACAGTTGGCATACAAGAAGCAGAAGTGGAGAAGAAAACAGACAGTAGCACTGCAAGATGGTAATGCAGCATATGGATCTTCAGCCATGTGATAGTCGTATTTATGACAGTATAGGTTGAAGTAAACTCCTGGCCAGAGAGACCTGTGTGGAAGAACTACTGAACTGTGAAATCCTGCCTTCTGGTTTGGCTTTCTTGGTATAGAAAAGGAAGACATGAATAGTAAAGCAGTCAAATTAATCTGTAAGTCTTTGTTATTAAAAATAATTACATGGCTGACAAGAACTCCTAAATCATCACATTGAGGGCTCCAAACTAACTGAAACTATATATTCACAAGGGCAGACAAGAAACCCCTCTGAAGGGGCAAGTTGAGGCAGGGAGGCAAAACCTCAGCTTAGTTATTGGTGGTGTGTTTCTCTAGGCCTGGGTCCCTTCTGCCTAGGCTTTAGTTCCAGTCATTAAACTGCAGCATTTCCCACCTGAAAATGTCAGCCTCTGGTGTAAGGATACATAATCTCAAAGTCAGTGATGTGTTTTGGCTGGCTCTGTGGCAGTAGGTAGAAGCTGGAGTTGTGTGCCTCCAAGGCTCTTGAGCCTCTGTCAGGCCAGCTGTGCTTCAAAAACACCAGGAAAGGAGAAAAATTGACTGAAAGCAGCTCTGAGGAGAGGAGAGACTTTGGGTATTTGGTTGATGAGAAGCTCAACATGACCTGACAGTGCACAGTTGAGCCCAGAAAGCCAACCTTAAGCTCCATCAAAAGCAGCGTGGCCAGCAGGTTGGGGGAGGTGATTCTGCCCTTCTGCTCCACTCTTCTGAAACTCCACTTGGAGCACTACATGCAGTTCTATGGCCCCCAACATGAGAAGGACATGGACCTACCTGTTAGAGCAGGTCCAGAGCAGACCATGAATATGCTTGGAGGACTGGAGCACCTCTCCTATGAAGACAGGCTGAGAGAGCTCGAGTTGTTCAGCCTGGAGAAAAGGCTGCGAGGAGACCTCATTGCAGCCTTCCAGTACTTAAAGGGGGGGCTACAGGAGGGCTAGAGAGGGACTTTTTACAAGGGCATGCAGTGATAGCAGAAGGGGGAATGGCTTTAAACTGAAAGAGAGTAGATTTAGACTAGATATGAGGAAGGAATCCTTTACTGTGAGGCACTGGAACAGGTTGCCCAGAGAAGTTGTGGATGCCCCATCCCTAGGGGTGTTCAAGGCCAGGTTGGATGGAGTTCTGAGCTGGTCTGGTGGAAGGTGTCCCTGCCCATGGCAGGACAGTTGGAACTAGATGATCTCTAAAGTCCCTTCTAACCCAAACCATTCTATGACTCTATGAAAAGTGACCCTATAATAAAGCATTATGAGGATATTTTTTTTTTTCCTTAGAATCACAGAATAGTTAGGGTTGGAAGGGATCTCTGGAGATCACATTGTCCAAGTCCCCTGCCAAGGAAGGGTTGCCTAGTGCAGGTTACACAGGAACATGCCCAGGTGGGTTTTGAATGTCTCCAGAAAGAGAGACTCCTTGACCTCCCTGGGCAGCCTGTTCCAGTGCTCTGCCACCCTCAATGTAAAGAAGTTCTTCCTCATGCTGAGGTGAAACTTCTTATGTTTCAGTTTAGGGCCATTACTCTTTGCCCTGTCGCTGGGCACCACTGAAGAGAGTCTGGCACCATCCTCTTGGCACCCTCTTGGCCTTTGAGATATTTGTATGTATCGATGAGATCTCCTCTCAGTCTTGAAGAGTAGACAAAACAGGCCCAGCTCCTGCAGTCTCCTCTTAAGAGAGATGCTCCAGTCCACTGGTCATCTTTGTGGCTTTAGCTTGGCATTTTAATACTTCCAGAACAAAGAACTTGTCTAGGTTACCAGGGAGTATAAATAAGATGCAAAGAATATGTATGGTCTTGTATTTCTTGTTGCTTAAAAGCAGAGAAGTGCAGAGAAACAAGGCAGAAGTTTAACAGTCCTCGAGGAGATCTGTTACATTGTGGGGGTTTGGGTTGTATGTTTTATAACTTCTTTTTATGTCAAATGGAAGGAGTGGTATTTCATCTTTTCTTATGTTTTTGTCAGGCATTGAGGGCTACAGATGGGTTCTATATTGGCAGTTGCTATCCCTGAGTTTTTGTGGTTTTTTGGTGATTTTTTTTTTATTATTACATGTTTTAATAAGCTGGATTTCTTTTTACTACGTGCTTTTTCAAGCTGGATATTTTGACATGCTTGTAGTTTGATTCCAGTGGCTATAGTGAAAGTGTCAAAGGACAAGCAGTATTTCAAAGGGCAAGAACTTCTTTAACACATCTTCTCTGAACACTTTTCTTGCCAGCCATGGAAGGAGCTTGTTTTTTGAACAGTTACCCAATCCTGGCTTTTTTTTTTTTCAGTTCACTATGTTTACCCTATGGGTGTTTGGGATGAGGAGCTAGAAAGACAGAAAGGAAGAATTCATGTTTGCTGCTAGGTATGCTTTTGACAATGTGCTGTGTCATGTCCGTTGATTTGCTTAGAGCTGTTGGTAGGAACTGGGAAAATGGAGATACAAAAACAAACTCTTTGAAGTACATCTATATAGCAGTACAGCCTTCTAAATGAAGGTGGCTGAAAATCTGATTTCTTCTATTCACTGCATTTATGCATAATACTAAGTTGCCATTTACTTTCTGTGTGCCATTTGATCCCCAGAAGACTCTGAGTGGGTAGAATGTGTGGGACTTTGCCTGTTCTGCCAGAGCTGATGGTGTCTTCTGTGACTGATAAAGTAGCAGCAGCATCCCACCAGACCTTGATGCCTCTTGCTAGTCATGCTCTAGTCACAAAGCAAGCTTACTGATAGCTTCACTGGGTTTCCTCCCTTCTTGCCAAAAGACACTCTCTAGTTACTTGTATTGCTAGTAAATAGAGAAGACCACTTACTGAGTAGGTGTTAAGTTTCAGTGCAGGTTATGAGGGTCTGACACGACTTTTCCTACTACTTTTCCTACTACTGCTAGCTCCTAAATTGCCCAATACTCTTAAAAGTGTTAGACAATTTAGAAAGGTGTATCATAGCTAGCTCGTCTCAGTAGAAGAAACTTCTTACTTTTCTTTGAAAAGTAGTTCTTCAGCTTCACTCTGTCTTAGAGCTCTTGAGTTACTAGAGTCTGGATTGAGTCTGTATCAGCTAATTGGTTCAAGCAAGTGTAGCTCAGATTGAACTTGCATAAGTGTGAGTCTGTAAGACTTTGAGGTCTCTGGAAAAGCCGAGTTTGTCATGTGGAGTACTTCTGTCACTATATAGAATAGGATGACTTGAAGAGTGATCAAGTGGTTTGTTTTGGGTTTTTTTCTTTTTTTTTTCCTGCCAGACTCTGCAGAGAAGTTGTTTGTGGTGCTGAGCTCCTCTAAAGCCAGTAAAAAAGATGACTTAGTACTTTCAGCTAACCTACCACATCTAGAGTGAAAATATGAAATGTGCTTAAGAGAGAGGCTTTCCAACGAGACAGGGCTAATAAGTCTTTGCAGTTCTGCCCAGCCAGTGGTAAATTAACTGAGTGCTTGTTCTGACAAGTCCATGACACAGATGAGTTATTCTTAAAGGATAAAAAAATCTGCCCAGATATTAGATTCTGTTGGGTTCAATGGTCCTGAGCAGTGCCAAAAGCCAGAGGATATATAGCATGGCAGGATAAAAAAGTTTTCTCCTGTTTGTTGGCATATCAGATTGAGGTTTTGGGATCACTGTCCTCACCAACCTTTCCCTAGCAAAGCTGTCAGTAGACTTACCTCAGAGGGAAGCTTAAAGTAACCCAGGGCTCTGAGCTTCCCAGTTCAGTTTCCACACAGATGAAAGTGGAACAGCATTTAGCACACAGTGATCTCCTGTGTGCATGCCATTACTAGATCAGCCTTGGCCAAACTTCCAAATTAGTACTTTTTGGATAGGCTGAGTCAGAGGCAACAGCTGCTGCTACTGAAAGGATGAAAAATGAATCAGCTGCGAAAGGCTCATTAGTGAATGAAGGGGGCCTACGAGGTCAGAGCTTTAAAGTGACTTGCCTAGTGTCTCTAAACTCAAAAATTCTTACTTCAGAGATTCCCATGTCCCTTTGGAATTTAGGACTGCCTCTTGAGCAGATTCATGACCGTGCAATGATCCGTGTCAAGTCTCAGAATAAACCATAGCAGAACTGGGGTTAGAAGGTGGGCATGGGCTGGCCTCTTGGGTAAGGGGAAGCCTTTTGTTGTGTTGTTTGGTGGTGTCTGCCTGAGTTCCACCTCACAGTGGAAGGGAAGCAATGCAGAACACTACTGCTGTTAGTGTTACCAGCCAGGTGATATGTGCCATCCAGAGCTTGACTGGCCATGCTGGAGTCCACAACAGGGACATATTGTGGGAAACTGCCATAGCAAGAACTTCTAAGGCCTTATTGAAGAAAGAAACCTAATTGCTGTACTAGGCTGAAGTTTCAGGAGTGGAAGTGTTTTATAATCATATGGAAATCCACAAGAAAGTTAAGCCTCCTGAGGCACTGCTAAATTGAAGGCCTCCTGTCACTTTACTGGTAGAGACAAGTTTTGCTCTTCTGTATCCTGAAGGTATGTCCTCACCTAACATCAGTAGAGGGGCTATATTTATTTCATTCAGGCCTTAACAGACCAGTCAGTGCAGATCAGTCATCTCTGTGGTATCAAAACCTGGTGTCCAAAATCAGCATGAACATCATATTATGCTGAACAACATAGTTATGCTTTTTCCTATACTGTCTCATTGTTTTTGCTGAAGAGTCATGTTTTTCATGATACCAGAGCCTCACAGTGTGTGTCAGACTTTTATCCTAAAAAAACACCCTTGGTGTATTACTGTATGCAAATTAAAAACCCACCTAGGAACAAAGAAACAACAGAGTATATGTGCAGGTTGCTCCTGGGACCAGTTTTTAATTTTGTAGGATTTTGGGAACAAGTGATCAGGACAAGACGACAAATCAAGCTGTGTGATATAACTAAGTTCCTGCACAGCTATCTGTTCCTTTTTTGTAAGACCATCAAATTATTTTGACAGTTCTTAATCTTTTTAAATATTCTCCTCCTTGTTGCAATATAAAGTAAGATTTAGAATTGAAAGAGCTGTCAGTGAGAGGAAGAGAGGCCCCAGTGATTGTTAGCTGCCTTTGCCCCATGTGGCAAACACTTTTGCACCCTTTATATTTCCTGATGATCAGAATTTCAAACAAAAACCCATATGCAGCTATCTTAGAGAGACCCTCCTAATCCAACTTTTGAAGGGGGAGGAATCCACAAGGCTACTTACAACAGTGGGCTTTGGGTTTCAAAAGCAGAATCTGGAACCCTGCTCATTACACAAAGTGTTATTACAGCACTTGCTTATTTCCTTCTTGGAACATGTGGAAGTAATTACGGAGGAGTTGGAAGAAGGCACAGGGAGGCTGGAAGCAGCCTTGGAAAACAAAAGCAAATGAAATGTGGGCCACTTGGAAAGCTGTGCTATGCCCATAGGTGAGAGCAGGTTTCTGTATCACATTGGCTTTTCTGGGGCCACTGTATTGCTGACTCAGGTGCAGCCCAGATACAAATTATTTATGCTGTCCTGGCAATATGGGATGCTGTAAAGTACTGGTCATTTGGTCTTCATCTTTACTGGACCTGAGCAAGCTTTGTGAGCTTCCACATACATCAACAACAATTTAAATTTATTTGTGTGTGTGTGTGTGTGCAGCTATAAGATTACTTTATCAGAAGATCTTAAAAATATTTCTGCAGTTGTTCTGATTTGTTTCTTCCTCCTTGTTAGTGTTTCCCAAAATAATTTATCAATCCTGGCTTTGTTTAAAAGCACCAGGTTTTTGTCTTATAATTTGGTGTTATACTGATGTTCAGGATGCCTAGTGTGGATGAGAGCCCCACTGCAGCCAGCCCTGTAACAAACATAACACCGAGCCAAGTCTGAAAAACTTGGCAGTGTTAGTCTCGGAGCCTTTCAGGCTGAATCATTTGGGAATGTATCTGAGGGGACCACGTTACAGGTGGGCCTGTTGCAGGGAAAATAATACAGTTGTCATAGTGAGTAGCATTCTTCTGGGGAGGCAGATCTGCTGCTGGAGTGCAGTTGTGTTTGGGTTGCTGCTTTCTGTCGCAGAAAGCTTCCTTTCGCACTTGCAGTTTTTGTTAGCCCTGGAATTTGTGTCTTGGTTTTTCAACTGCCTAGCATACAGCAAAGTCTGTCCTGTTTTGGAAGGGGAAAGAAAGGTATAAAACTTTATTTTTCTGCTAAAATTTCAGTGGGAGTGGGAGTTGCTTAACTGAAGCAAGGCTTTCTAAGGGGCATAGAGAAGTACATTTTGTATCTAGACAATCTGTATCACTGTAGAAGCACCAGTGGCAGCTTCATATAGCCTAAACATTTTGACTCTTGTAAAATGTAAATATAATTTGCATTTTAGAGCAAGCTTTGATGCTAATGGTTTTTATTTTAGGAGAGAGATAAACTACTGGGGAAAAAAAATCATATTTCTAATAGACAGACAAGACCCATAATTAATGTTGCACTAGGAGGCTTCCTCCATGGTTGGCTAATCACAGCTGAGTGTTAATAAGCATAGAGTTTTTTAAATACTTTTGTAACACGTTAATTAAGATAATTCAGCTCCATGTGTCTCTTGAGTTACCAGATGGCGACTGCATTGGTGGAAGGCTGCAATTAGAGTCTTTTCTTCCTTACTTTTTCTTCCCTTGTCCTAAGGGAAAAAAAAAGAGGGGGGGAAGAAAGGCAGCTTTGGTGTGTATAGGATGACTGTGAGGGGTGCCTGTTACTGTACACATTGCAAATGCTTGTGTCTAATTATATAAATGCAGAGCTATATGATTGTATATACAAATCTCTTTGCTTTTGTTCTTCTCATTTACTCACATTATGACATAAAGAAAAATAAGCCTCCTTTTCAGAGTATGCCCTTGCTGGGGAAACTGCAATTTCCCTGTGAAGACTCCAGTCCTGCTCAGTTTGCTCTTCTGTCGTTGACTTCAGAGTAAGCAGCATCTGGAACCAGTAAAGACAGAGAGCTTATTTTTCAGTGGACTTTGGCTTCTGCTTAATACACAGAGCCCAAAGAGGGTTATGTTTTGCAGTGTGTTTTTAGGGAGGCTTAAAATATTTTAGGGGCAGAGTCGGTGAGAAGTGTTTGTGCTCACAATGGAGGCCTTTTAGTGACTTCTGCCTTCTGTAAGTTAAATATAAAGAGGTCCTTTAGCCTCAGCTGTTGTGACTGGGCCCCGCCAGCAGCTGCTGGATCCCTCTGGGAAATGATCCATCTGCTCATGTGCTAGAGAAAGCCAGAGTGCTGAAAAGGTTCAAAATCTGTTCTCCTGTTTCCAGTCCCCATCTCCACCCCAGAAATTACAGACCAGTGGAAAACCCGGGCATCTGGTAATCTGTCTTTTATGGAGTAAATGCTGTCTCCAGCTAGAAACACACCAAATTCTCAACTGTTGCCAGCTGGCAGAGGACAGCTTCAGTCTGGGTCCCTTTTTAGATCTTGTATCTGCAGCTACTGTATTTTTATAGTTAAAATACAAAGGTTAGCAGACTTGTGGGCAATAAACAAAAAACCCCCACCAACACCCTGAGCTACCTGAAAGGAGGAGCAGAGCATGCTACACCTCAACTAGGAGTGACCCACTTGTCCTCTAGGGATAAGCCTTTCTAAGGACTGTAGGAGGCATTTGTGTTGGAATTTCGTTCCATGGGCTAAAAAATGTCCCCAAGATGCTGGAAGAGGGTAAAATCTCAAATATTATTCCCACAACAGGTCATTGTTGTGCTTTACAGAGCCAGGCTGCCAAGTGAAATTCTGGTCTGAAGCACGTGGCCCTTTGTGTTCAGCACAAACCTGCTGTTACAAGCAGTGACTGTCCCTGAAATACTTGGTGAGCCATTTCCTAGCCTAATAGGAAATTCCTGTTCTCTGCATGGGGAGGACAATGCAGGAGCAGAGGGTGCATAGTAAGAAGCTGCTATGCTGAAAGCTTTTGAGTGTATCCACGCAAACATGGTTAGGTGGAAATCTGAAGATATTTAGCACTCAGAAATGGAGCTGGCACTCATGCTGGGGAATGTGGGTGGAGGTGACTGCTTTTCTATCTACCAGTAAAGCACATCCCCCTGTCATTGCTTTCTCAACAGGAAGGAAGGTGTGGGTGGGGCGCAGCAGTGCTGTTGATCAAAACTTACCAAGGTGCCTTTTCTCTGCAGACCAAATGTCTCGGAAGTGGTTTTTGCTTTGGTAAAAGATGGTCTTTAGTTGAGGAAATTAGTCTAAAAGGGGTATGAAATGGTAACAGACTTGCTTCTTACTAAAACCAAATTGCTGCTGAGGGAGGGGCTGCCAAAAGCAGCTTCTGCTGTTTATAGGCTGGTTTGTATGCACAAGGGAAGAGGAAAATCAAGGATGTTGCCTGTCTGGATTTCACACTGAGAGCAAAGCTGGCTAGTCATCTTCCCTCATCATCCCCCACTGCAGAAAACTTGTGGAGCCAAACACAAGTCCTGCCTCAGGCAGAAGAAAATGTTGTGTGACTGAAGGCCCTGGTTTAAGGAGAAAAATTCCTGACTGGAAGAGAAACTTGTGGAATTTTTTTGTTCTGCAGTCACAGTGTCACTGCAGCCATGGTGTTTTTCCCCTGCTTGCCCAGAGAGTGACACAGCAGGAGGTTTGGGTTACAGGGACATGACAGATAGCTGCATGTTGTTTGAATAAAATAGGTGTGTATATATATATATATATTTAATCTTTTTTCTCCTCAAGGCAGCAAACCACCTTTAGCCGAGACTCTTCAGAGTGTTGGGGATGAAGTGAAGTTGACATGAGAAAACCAGTTAACTTGGACAGTTAATTTCCTATCTGCTAGTTAGGAAGGGTTTATAAAATAAGTGCTTGCTATTGAAAACTTATGTGTGCCAGTTGTATGTGTACCTTTAGTTTTGGTGCTACTTTGCAGGTTGTTTTCTCTCAGTAGGTAGTGGAGTTCGAGTTCATCATATGCTAGGTAGGGATCTGTCCTACCCTAGCAAATGTGGAAAGGTTTGAGACAACTCCTTCTCTATGAGGAAAAGCTAAGTTTAAAAAAAAAAAACAAACCAAAACAAAAAACAAACAAAACAGACCAAAACAACCCCCAAAAAGCCCCCAGACAAACAAATAAGGTAGCTACTTGCATGAAAACTTGAAGAGTGTGTTCCTTTAGGTGTGAGCTGAAGCACTGTAGTTTGTCTGCAGCACTGGAGGCTTGTTATTGCTCAAGAAGCTGCTCAGTCAGCTTCTCACTGTGGCTGACTACCCTGCTGCTGTGGGTAAGGACAGTAGTGACACTGTTATCTAGTTGGGTCACATTCATGCTCCTCTGAGTACCAGAGACAGAGGTTGGGAGTATATCCAAGAACTGGGCAAAGGAAGGGGTTAATTCTTTCCTTGTTGGCTTACTAAATAACCAGGAGATTAGTGGAGAGGTCAGGTGAAGAGGTCTTGTCCTGCTGGCAAGAACTGAAACTCTGCAAGGAGAGAAAACACTGTTTCTTCTCCTATTAGCACATAGGGCCAGAGATCTTGCTAGCAAATTCATTTAATTCCTTCCTAAGTGAAACTAATGTTCAGTATCAGCCCTGAGTGGGATCCATGGGCAGCACTCTACTAGAATTGCCAGACCCTATAGAAGCTGAAGTGGACATTCTTGCTTTCTTTGATTTGCACTTCGAGCCTGCTGACTGCATCAGGCTGTCAGGTTTTTATTGTGAAAAAGCATTGTATGGCTTCAGATGCAGCTAGTGTTTCAGACCACCCATTTAGCTGTGACAGGACCCAGACTGAAGGTGGGAGTAGAGAGGAAGGATTACTCGCAAGGGTGTCCTAGAGAGTTTGGGGCTCTTTGGAAGGTCCTTGCCAGAAGTAATGTAGTAGTAGCTTTTGCAGTTCCCTCTGCTGTACTGAAGTGATGCACACACAAATTTTCCAAGTTGAAAATTAAAGTATCCATAGCAGGGACAGGTAACTGGAAGATGGGGATATTTTCTGTTTATTTTGGATGCTTTTTCTGGATGTGCTATTTCTAAGGCTAGTGGCAAGTCCTGTCGGAGAGAGTAATGGTGGCATTGTTTTGGAGAACTGACTTGGACAGAGAAGTGCTCCTTGCCACTGTGGAATGTGCTGAAGCACACAACTTGGAAGAGAGTGAATAGGCAAAGGCAATGACTGTGACCAGGAGGAAACTTTTGTATGTGAAAGGAGATATGAGAAGAGACAAAAAGATATACTTTGAGGCAAGCCAACTTTTTCTAAGCTCCTCTATAGAAATCCTACTGTAGGGCAGTCAAGGTAGTGCAAAAAAGTTATGATGAGGCTTCAGAGGAAACTGCATGAAAGAAATGGTATGGCATCTAGCACTGGAACAATTTAACTGGGTGCTTATGTGTTCTGCTTCACAAAGGTGTTCACTCACCAGGTAGGTCATGCTGGCATGAGACAATCATGTCAAGTTGAACCAGACTAGGCGGGGACATGTTCAGCTTGATCAGGAGGGTGGGTTTTGTTTATAGGGTGTTTTTCCTCCGTGAGTCTTGATAGTATCTGTTAAATGGATTAAATCTCGTGGATGAAGAAAGAGAAGTACTGAGCTTAGGATCTTCCATTTCCAGTCTTGTCCCACAGAAGTTGTGGTATGTCTAAAGGCTGGAGAGTTTAATAACATCCAAATAGGGGGACATGTGTTCAGGGCATCCAGCAGAGCAGTTGTAAACCCAAATGGTTTCCAAAGTGCTTCAGTGCTGACAGGTTCCTCTGACACTGCTCTGAGGATGGTTAAACCTGCTAGAGCACTTGTGTAGTCAGTGAGGAATTTACCTGAGACTCAGTCCAACTTCCTCTTGGAATTGCTGGGATTTGAGCCTGACTCATATAAAGAGTAACTATAATTTGTCAGAATTGTTCCTGTCCTAGCTTTAGTGACCTTTGTGCCCTGCTGTGGAGAAGAAAAAAAGTCACTGGATGTTCAGTGCAAAACATCCCTTCGTTGAGTAATGCTGTACCCACATGTCTGCCCACGTAAGGTGAGCAATGCCATGGTTTGTTCTCCCTCAGTTACAAACCTATAGTTAGGCACTCTAGTGATTATGATTAGAAGTTGTCCTGTTGTGGGTTTTGTTGTTTGTTTGTTTGTGGGGTTTTGTTGTTTTTCTCTTTTAAGAATGCATTTTGTTAAGGAGGATTTTGCTGCCCAGCAAAACAGGTGAGTGACTGAAGTACAGTTCTGTTGCTTGGTGCAGAAAAAAGGGGTGTAAGAGCCCTGACAGGGTCCATAAGTCTTACTAGTTGAAAAAAGACACAGTGACAAGCAAAGATTGTAGAGAGGTCTTCTGTTTGGTGTTGTGTATGGGCGAAGAAGGTTAGTACCGGGGAGCTTTTATAATTCCATAGCAATTATCCAGTCAGATTAAAGTATGTTTTAATCTTTCATTGTATGTATAAGTGGAGTGTATTGTGCTTGATCCTTACCACAACAGGCTAATCCTGCCTGAGCTTTGGAAATCATCTGCTTATCTGTGAATTTCACTCTTAGTGATGGAGGCTCGACTGTGCTCCTGGGGTTCATGTTCTGAGTATCTAAACTCCTCACTTTTGTGTCAGCACACAGCATACCATGTGCTTCCATCTGTGGCATTATATATGACCCTGGCATGGATTTGTGTCTTTATTACATTATGTTAGAAATGCTTTGTAATTCTGCATCAGGTCAGCAGTCAGGACCTAGGCTCAGTTTCACCTCAACCCAGACATAGAAGGTCCATTTCATCCTATGGTGATTAGGTTGATCACTTTAGCCAACAACATTTCTTACTGTCTCTAAAACAAGCTAGGTTCCAACGCCTCACACTTATCTGTGAAATCTGGTGGATGAGGAAGCAAGTGGAGCTTACTGCTATTAGCTGAGTCATGGAAAAGGGAGCCTGTGAAGGTACAATGTGATGATGCTGTCACTGCAATAAAAAGAAGTTCCTTAGTGTTGTGATTCTTGTCAAGTTGGTAACAGCTATTCAAAGAACATAAGAGCAGTTAACACTCCTTGAAGTGATTGAAGATGATTTGGTGGGAAATTGGGTGGAGGTGCATACTGGCTTAATATTTTTTCATTTGCATATTAAAAAGTCATCTATATGGTAAATACCTCATGGTTTGGAATGGCATTTTGCAGAAACTCCATTGCATAACTTAATTTGTGCCTGTTGATCTGAAAATGACTGGTTCTTTACCTCAAACAGAGTTCAGTGATGTTCACAGTGTTTCGACCTCTATCTAGTTGTTATCTCCTTCCTCTTTTCCAGCAGTGTATGCTGGCAGAGCACCAGCTCTCTCCGGAGATGTCATAAGCTTCAGTACCACTTAGAAGTAGTGACTTTGGGAGTAGAGTTTTGTCCCCTTTGCACACAGTGCAACAATGTTTAAAACCCCCTTCTGTGCATCCTCAAAGCTCGATAATCAAGATGCTGGCAACAGCTTTGCAAGCCTAGAATGTCAGTAACCCACTAGGAAGTTAGTAACTTCTCTAACTTGGCTCTCTTATTCTTCCCTGCCTGGCATGAACATTTGTTTTAAGATGTCTCACAAGCCCTGGGATACTTCCAAAAACATGTGTTTCACGGTGGGAGTTGATGAAATTCCTGCATGTTTCTTTCTATTTCAAATGTACCTGTGCATATTTGACTGTGAGTCTAGGCTGATGCTATTGGCAAGGAGATAATTGTTACAATATATGTACTTAGTGTCCCACAAATTTAAAGGACTTTTTGTAACCTTGTGGGAAGGTTAGTGTATCTACTGTGTGTCACACCCCCTTGAAACTTGGGAGGGGTAAATCCCAGGGTGAAGGGGAGGGGAGTTGGGGATGGGGACAGGAGGGAGGGAGGATGTCACTGTTTTGCTGTGTCCTATGAAATCTGTCAGGCTTTAACTGGAGCTGAAATAATGAAAAACCATCCTCCAGGGTTTAGTTCATGTGTCTCAAAAAGTGTCAATGTGCCAAAGTAATATCCAAACAGCAATGCAGCCTGGAGCTGGACCACGTAGCAGCATGCAAATACTGCTGAGGGTTGAACGTGAGCAGCCCACTGGGAAGCATGAACTGGAAGGAGAGCTGGGTCAGGCTGGTCCCAAACCCAGTACTGAACCAGTATGGCACAACCATGCTTTGGAGTGCTAATAAACAGTTTGCACAGGCAGCTATTCCCATCCATCCACACCTGGCTGCAAACTTAGCCAGCAGTGGGCTGCTCCGGACATGCTTCTAGCAGCAGTTGGCACCCAGCTTTTTTCACCCCTCGTGTGTCAGTAGTTTATTCTGTGGAAAGCAGTAAATGGGATGCTCTGCCTGGTTCTCTATAGCTGTGGATATACCAGTGCTGCAAACTTGGGGCGTAAGCTTTGCTGCTGGTGATATAAAGGGTTGTGCAGAATCAGACTCGTACCTTATCTTCTGTTAGTTCCAGTTTAGAGTGCACATACAGAGGCAATTGAAGCAATGGAGCATGTGAAAGCATGTGAAAGCTGAGGGTACTTAGTTACCGTAGGAACAGGTCACTGTAGTGGAAATCTGTGCTGTCTGTCCCAAGCATTCTGGGTGCCTGTGTTGCTGTACTGGGCCCTGATTTGCAAAGGTGCTGTGTTCTGTCAGAGATGCCAGGTCCAGCGGGGAGCAGAGGTGTTTGACTTTCTCAGTTTTTCAGGCACCACCAGTCCATTATCGTACCCACCCAAGCCTTGCCTGGGTCAGCTTCAGCAATTTTTAATTCCATCAGCACTGTCTAGTAGACCTTCCCAAAGCTACATGCTCTGAGGTGCTTTGTTCCCCTGAGACTGCCTTGCAAAGGACAGTTCAGGATCAGTTCAATCATGTTGAGAATGGAAGATGTTGATGTTCTGGCTACCTGATCCAGACCTTTTTTATCTGTTTCCCCAGCACATAAACAGTGGTCTTCCATCACAGTGCAGGTGACATTTTAAAATACTTGTGACACTCTTGGATGCTGTGATGGCAAATGAAGGCTGGGAGTAGGGAAAGGGGAGGTGACTAATTCCCTTCCCTGTTAAGAGAACAAGTCAAGGACAACTGCCTGAAGAGACCTATCAGCTGCTTCTCTCCTTTTGTGTGCCAAGTGGCCTGTGGAGGTGAGGAGGGAACCAGTTTGCGGTTGCATAGCTGTGCATCGCCTGAAGCCCTTTCGTAAGGAGGCAAAGTAAGGGTTCTGCAAGTGCCTGATGTGGTGGTATTTCCAAGCTTTTGAGAGTGCTACTGCAATGTAAATGAGTGCCTGTTTCTTGTTGGGTGCTG